ATACATGGCCACCAGATACTTTTGGTATCTATATCTACGGGACAGTATGTATACACAGCCTTGACAGGGTCCATCAAATTACAGTATATACATGTACATATCTGTATGGGACAATACATATGGTCCATCAAATTATATCTATGGGACAGTACACAGGGTCCCTTAAAACATATCCTATGTAACTTACTTAGACTCTACCATGCACTGATATGGATGATTCCATTATGGTCTACAGTGTTGAAAGGGTTAACACATACACTAATATCAGGAACAGTTCCAGAGAGAACAATTAATGGCTCCCAAAGCTCTGTCCCTATATATCACAAGTCTACCATGCAAGATTCACAAATGTACTTTACTAGATAAAGTGATATTCAAAAATCCTGTCACAGATTACAACTTCTTTCTTCATAAGATGATATCAACATTCAAAGGACACTGTATGGTTTTTACGTGTGTTTGTGAGCCAGGCTGTACATGTATATGCATATGTTACACAGGTAAAGTGCACCGACAAGATCCCTATATTGATAAAACTCTATCCCATTTATGTCTCAACATACTTGCCTGCATTTTTTTTTTTTAATTTCAACCACCTATTGAAAGCTTGACACAGAAAAATGTTTTTCAAATTGAATCGCCATGAAATATAGAAAACATTGTAAATCACAGTCTTTACTAAGCTGATATCTGTTGGTTGGTTTAAAGCACAAAGCTTTGTGGTAATTTACAGCCTTTTTTCACGGTCTGTACGTACAGCTGTATAGCTTTGTCAGCACTGTTTAATTCATCGTGTGCTAAAATCTTTCCACAGACAAGATCAAGCCTAAATGTTTGTCTATATCCAATGAGAAAAACATTATTCCTTCCTATTAAATCTCTCTCTGTAAGATACATATATATCAGCCTTTAAACATACAGGTACCACCAGATCGTGGTTTTTAATGTGCCTTTGTTGAGCTGATCACAGGAAGTATCAATGGGACCTATAGCTATCCTTCATAATGGCAGGGGATATCGGGTTTCACCTCCGTATTTAACTGGATTTAACTGGACGCCCTATCTACTCCCTAACCATGCCATGCTCTCTCCACTTCTACAGCTACAAATATATCTCAGCTTAACACATATTAACACAAATACATTTGATAATGGTTGAAATTTGACATTTAAACAAAACATAAAATCAAATTCAGAAGCGGTTTAACCCCCTATCACAATATGGAGACACACATTTTATTGTTAAGACAGAAAGATAAGCCAAATGTTGAACATTTGAGTGAAGCCAACAGATTGTTGTGTTGCCTACTCAGTGAAAACCTGATACTTACAATGGTCAAGACAGCTAATAATGAAGTCTTTAATCTGACTATTCCAATCTGTCTACGGGGCCATGATAAAATGACAAAATGGCACGCCAGATTTTATCTAATGCAGTGTATGGGGAACTTGCTTTGAATCTCTGAGTGCTGTTAAAGGTCAGGAGTTATCGCCCTTGATGACTGTTTTGTGATGATCTGGTGATACTCCTTAATGAAAGGTCATGGGTCACTTCCATATTCTGGTGACTAATTAGACAGAATACGACTAATATCAATCACATCAACAGAGTGAAGACAAATTTGTTGGGACAGAAATTCTTCAGTTCTTTTTGGACACATATAGCCATTCACCCCTGAAATCTCATAATGAACTATTCCAACATTTGAATTGGAAGAGTTTGAATGTGTCTTAAGGGGTGAATGAGTTAATTACATAATCCTTTGCTATAACTTATACCCAATATGTAAATGATGAATTCCAAACTAACAAAACATGTTTTGGTCTTTTCTTTTAATTTATTAATGATATAAATAAAAGACGATAAGACATTTTTTAAGTTATAAAACAAATAAATCATGCAATTTATTTTACTGTTTATTATTATATGATCATTCCAAACTATCCTTTAAGATTTGCCCATGTTTTTTCCGTTTCCAAAATATTATGATACATATACCTGTGTTTGGAAAATAAAGTTGTTAATGAATATATTGCGGAAATGCTTTATTTTAATTCTCTCTTTATTAGAGTTGTGTCCCTTTATAACCTCATCATTAATAGAGTTCTGTCCCAAATTGTTTTTTCTTTTTCTCGGCTTTATCATTTTATACATATAATTTTATCTTACTGCTATCACATTCAAATTCCTTCTGAATTGCTTAAATCATTAAGGTCCCTCGTGTAGATAAAAATATTTTGTAAACTGATTCTAATTTAGTAATGAACATTTAAAACTGATTTAGTAAATGAACCATTCTTTTTTTCTTTTTCTTGTCTTTATCATTTTATACATATAATTTTATCTTACTGCTATCACATTCAAATTCCTTCTGAATTGCTCGAATCATTAAGGTCCCTCATGTAGATTAAAATATTTTGTAAACTGATTCTGATTTAGTAAATGAACCAAATAGCCTTAACATCAGAAGCGTTCATTTAATTTTCTTGTAACAAAAATAACCGCCATGACATAATAATCAAGACATGAGAGTTCGCTAGGGGAGGTTAACTTTACTTTGGACCCTGATTATGTAATTAAAATCCTACACACAAATATGCAGTGAATGTTTTTGAAGACCAAGGAAGGGAGGTTGCACTGGTATATTTGGTCTGAGGTAAGATATCTGGTAGAGTGCTCAACCACTCGTCTATACATCAAGACGCGTAAATGTTGGTAGAATTCCATCAATGGTTCAGCCATATATCCTGTTTATCAAAAACTGTTTCCTGGCTATGGACAGTGCAGATCCAGCTTATTTGATCAAAAGCTTAAGATAGATATCAAAAGGTTACTACGTATTTAAGACATACCTAAGCCAATACTTGCCTTCATATACATCTATTAATTGACACCCACACTACCAATCCCTTTTTCAATATGTAGCACCAAAAATTTCTGATATTCCGTCAGAGAAATCATTTTCTGTTAAGAACATGTATTGGCCCTTCATTTCTTCTTGGCACAGAACTTGGCCACATTCCCAATCAGAAATACCAAGTTTGTTTTCTTCCAACTATTTGTGCAAGAATTCCTAAATGAAATTTACAACCTAATTTTCATTTTTTGTTTTGTTTAAAAAGTATTTTATAGGTTTTTTTTGTAATTGTAACAGTAAATGAAAACAACATTTGGTAAGCAACTTATTTCTTGTCTTTTAAATGGCATTCAGGCAGAAAATTACACATGCATTTCCCCTCCCACTGCAGAGGCTGCCTACAACTATCTAATTTTACAATGTGTTTGACACTGTGTTGAATCTTCTTCCTTTTGAAGGTCAATACTCATAATACCTGCCCTCCTGTTGTACATCAATCCTGTTGGAGGATGCAGCAGATGGAGATGAAAATATAAATATTGCCAATCTGAAATATCTAACAAATTCAGTTTTGTTTTTGTTTCACCATAATTGTACACACTTCTAGAAAATACATTATAAGATGCAATGAATATTCATGGATGATGCACAATGCACTAGCATTCAAATATTACCATATTTTCACCGCGGCATTTTCAAATACACAGTTTGCTTTCGTAGTGTTTAATGTGCTAATATATCAACAATTCACCCCTGAATTTCGTAATGGACTATTCCAACCGTTGAATTGGGAGAGTTCAAATGGGTCTTCAGGGGTGAATGGGTTAAAATTAAAGCTAATGTCATTTAAGGATGTTCATATAGACACATTTTCTTGCCCATGTCCTCACCCGGCAAAAATTGAAAAATGTAAATTAAATACATATATATATTCACAATACATACAATATTTATACTACAGAAGAAATGAAGGAAGAGATTTAGTAACGGGAGAGGCAGTTAGAAGTACAAGAGACTCACAGATAGAGAAACGATCAAAGAGTATGGATAAGCTTTGTATTGCTCACTTTTTAACCCATTCACCCCTGAAATCTCATAATAAACTATCCCAACATTTGAATTGGAAGAGTTTGAATATGTCTTCAGGGGTGACTGAGTTAATTACATAATCCTTTGCTATAACTTGCAAGTGTTTGAGAGGCTTATGCTTATCAAAAATATATTATGTGGCATATGTCGGGAATCCTTGGAGTTCCTGAAGTTTTATCAAATGTGTGATAATATTGTAACCCTTTCACACCTACCTACATTACCTTAGTAAACTCTACCATGCATTGTTGAAAGGGTTGAGTGTTATTGTAAAGGAGTTGAATTTCCTGATTTAATATTCATCCTTTCTAATGTTATAACAAATTTTTCCGTATTTATCCTCCAATAACTCCAGGGACAAAATACAGTCTCCAACCTGATTTGGAAGGTGAGCCTATTATAGTATTTTTGACATTTTTACTGAATTATCGTAGGTATGGGTTGGCTTATTACAGGATAAATACAGTCTTAATAAAATCTGGAAACAAACAAAAAACACTCAAGGAAGACAATGGCGATTATATTTCAGATATTGGTAGGAGCAATTCAGTACTGCATATTAAATGTCTGGATTTAAACAAAGATTTATGTAAGTTTAAAATCAAGTTATTATGTTTGTGAAGTGAATAAAACTAAAGAAACTATGTTAATTTTTCTATCAGGAAATGTTAGAAATATGTGCACGAACAAAAAGCATTGTCTCAAAAAGTTGCAAGTTTCATTGAGAATAATCACGAGTAGAAGGATTGTTATATAGATATACAAAGCAAAAGTAGGTCAACCGAGAAGGTCAGAGGTTAGACATCCTACGGGATTATAGGTACATTGATTTGGATTTTCTTGGTCCTCATTTCCAGAAAAATGTCTAGAGTCTGAAATGAATCACAAGTGCTAGTATAGTCCAAAGTAGCATATGATACTTCAGACAAAGTCAGCTTTTGTTCCGTAACAGACTTCATTCTTTCAGAAAATCTCAACCAAGTACCTTTAATCCAAGGGAGATCACTCTATGCACACTGCAGGAGGAGAAGACAATTTTTGCATTTTACTTACTTCTTTAGAGTCAATATCTATCAAGTCTCTTGTAAGACGTTCACTTCTCCGATTTCTCTGTAAAATATGAAATACAATAACTGCGATGATGCAAGGCCAAATCTACATAATTCTACGCTCAAAGCATGACACTGACCTACATTTCAATGTGACCTTTGACATATGATCATGACCTACCAATGTAAAAACAGTCATCAACAATGCAATGATTCATGCAAACACTCCAACACAAACTCATTGACATAAGTGACAGTTACACTAACTCATTCACCCCTGAAGACACATTTGGACTCTTCCAATTCAAAGGTTGGATTAGTTAATTATGAAATTTCAGGGGTGAATGAGTTAACATAAACAGGCTTCAGTTTCCAGGAAAAAATCTATATTCCTCTCTCCCTACTTACACTAGTTTTCAGGGCCTTTTTTTTCATTTTTCCAATATTTAATAAGCATCATTAAAGCCTTATTCATCATATCTCCATATCTAACATTTGTAAAAACATTTTGCATAATATGATAAATTTGCATATATGTTCATCCAATGTTAACCAATTTTTTGCCTTTTTGCGAAAAATGTTAACACCAGAATTATTTTGTTTATCTGAACCAAATTTTCACTCATTTAAGGAAAGCTTTGCTGGTATACCATATACTAACAATAAGAACCCAATTACTAAAGCTTAATTTGGAAAAACCGAAGCAGGGTACATATACTGTGTATATATGCTGTCAGTAAACTACATTCTATACTTTCAGATATCTCAAACATGCTGCATAGACGGTCAAAGATCTGATATCTCTCGTGATATCTATACGTATTGGTCACTTGACGTAAATTCCTGGGCCTTCATGATCAGTCAAGACAACATGTCGTTATAGCTTACAAAGTAATAAGTCACTACATTGGCGTACATGGACTTCCATACTTGATATATTTCTCCCCTTAACCAAGGTAGCATGCATGTTAGTTATCAGAGTTGTCACTAGTGCAGTGTTGTCACTTAGATCCAGCATCAAGCTATTTGTCACCAGATATTCTGCCGTTTGTGACCATCTGCCTTTCTGTCATGTTTAACATTTTAACCCTTTCACCACAGTAGACCATAATGGACTCATCCCCATAAATGCATGGCAGAGTCCACTAAAGTTACCTAGGGGTGAAAGGGTTAACGTTTGAAGTCCTTGAATGTCATTCTAAGTAGTTTTCTTCTTCATCTTCTGTTAACCTGTACTTCAAATGTTATAACGGCTCATGTACAAAATAGTGGTACAACTAGACCGTATAGAAGACATGCTAGGCGAAAGGTTGATGCACTTTTCCACGTTCCTATAATCCAGGATATCTTATCAGTGGGAACACACAATTACAAACTGAGAGCTTGTCGTGTTTGCAGACAGAGGAACCATTGAACGGCGATGGAATGAACTTAATGCAATATTGGTAATGACCAAATCTAGACACTGAATTATTAGTTTTGGAGGAAAATAACAACATATCTGACATGGGGATTTACTTTTACTATGAGTGTCTTTCATGGTGTTTTTATACATTTTATGAATAAATTGAACATCTTACTTACAACCAAGCTTTGTAAATCCAGCTAACACTAATATGGTTATTGGTTAGGAGAAATATTTGGCCAATGTTTTAGCAGATATACATTGAACTTTTTTCCATACGAAATTGTCTAAATAATCCAGTCGTTTTTCTAACCACTTCTGATGTGAGCATAGATGGGTTGGATTATCGAGGCTCTCTGGTAAATATCACCATGCCAGCATACTCCATAGGTCGCCTCTCAAAATGAAATATTATAAATGACAACTAAGTAAATGTAAGAGCCAACTAAGACAAGCTTCAATGATATATTGTATCTATATATGATTTTGTTGTTTATCTGCCCTTGTAATTGGCTAAAGCTCATTGTCCATTACATCACAATATAAATGTGAACCCCTCAAACAGTACATTAGGTGCCTAAAACATTGTAAAATTGGCCTGACGAAGCCTAAACTTTTGGGGCCAAACAAGCCGGCAAAATAAACTTGAAACCCACTAATTTGTGACGTTTGAGTATATTGTGATTATATCCATTTTCTTTTTATGTGCCTTTATCCTGTAATTGCCCTGCATACCTTAAACTGGCATATCTGTACTCGAAGCAAAGTTCCCCACTGACCTACACCTGACGTTGGCTCTAGTATTACCTAACTTTTAATATGATTTTAGATATAATTTATTAGATGACATGCAGTCATTTTAATTCATGCTACAGTGCATTACATTGTATATATCTTGTCACGCACATAACGTGACAATGTATGTATCATCACTGCTGGTATCCGAGCTCTTCCATCATCCGTTTGAGAGGTGATCCTGGTATCGCCATTGTCTATAAATCTACGATAAAATATCTAACAGCCTACATATCGATTCAATAACCATTGTTCTCACAAGCTGGAGTGATCATCTCATCAACCAGTGTTTTACAACAATTTTACAACAGCCTGTTCCTTTATGAATTTGGGAAAATATAACATTATTTGTATTGAAATTGGGAATATATCCCTCAATTTTTGGTCATTTTTGGAAAATAAGGCACTTTTAACTAGATGAAACAGCCTGTATTCGCCTGTTAAAATGAGCAAAAAACCCCACTGTTACCTGACCCGTTTCAATGAAGTCAACATCAATACATGTTGGTGGAAATGAACTAATTTTTTCGCAAACAAGACGCGTACATATTCGTGTGACGTCATCAACAGTAGATGTGGGCGGCGTTTACCAACTTTATTGAACCAGTCTTTGTTCATGTGTTTTATAAATGAAATTTGTGGCCGCTGATCAGACTATATATAGCTTTCTACTTTTATAAATTATGAAGTGATAATTGACTCAAATTGAGCACAAGGAAATTTATCACAGACGGCGTACCATTTACTCAATTTATGTATGCTCAACTGAGTAAAAATCCCCTCATAATTATAACCTGACCAAAATAGAAAACTACTTCCTAAATGTGTCCGCTGTATTCACGATAAGCCCCCTGTACATATATGCAATTTTAACTCATTCACCCCTGAAATTCCATAGTGAACTATTCCAACCTTCGAATTGGAAGAACTCAAATGTGTCTTCAGGGGTGAATGAGTAAATTATGAATCTGGGAAAACAGGACTCTTTCAATATTCTCATATAGCCCTGTGAAGTTTAAAAGATTTTAGTGAGCAGCTCATAAACTATGGTAAAGGAAAAGGTTGCTATGGACATTATACAGGAAGGGCATCACTTGCTTGGTTAAATACAGTACCCAGAGCAGTGCTTTCCAACACCAAACAATTGTATAATAATTATGGCAGGTTAATACCACCTACGCAATGTTGAAAAAACAAATGTCCTAAATCTAAGATATATATAGGCTTGGCTGCTTGCAGTCTGGAGTCTTACTGTAATGACTAGATTTGCTACCAGCCCCTAAGATTTTATGAAGAATATCTCAACACCAGTTTACTTCTAGCTAGCATATTATCTCCCTCTAGTTTAGAACTCTAGGATCCGACATCCAAGTGATCGAAATTATTAGTTATTTTTTTTCTAAATAATTTCATATTCTAGAGACAGGGGCCAGTCTATGTAATGACAGAAGGCTATTGTTTACCCCTGAACACAGGTATATCTTCATGTGTCGAACACACCACTGAAACAAGGCTGTAGCTACTGGTCCTATAGTGTTTCCACATGTCTCCGCTTCAATAGCTGGCTTGCATGCTATTTACTTTCTCCTGAAGAGTCGACCACAGTTGTTGTGTGTCAGTCTCTCCACAGTGCCTAACACTTGATCTGAAGGCATTTCCCTCAAACTCACAATATAAGTATTCATGGGGTTTACTCTGCCCCGCTGCACTTTGTGTTTTTTATATTTTTTAAATTTTGTATAGGATACTACTGTAGCATAGTTCGTACAGAACATTTCAATTGACGAGATATATAGCTCAGTCGGTCAGGTCCAGAACATTTCAATTGACGAGATATATAGCTCAGTCGGTCAGGTCCAGAACATTTCAATTGACGAGCTATATAGCTCAGTCGGTCACGTCCAGAACATTTCAATTGACGAGCTATATAGCTCAGTCGGTCAGAGCGACAGTATAACAATTTTAGGTCAAGGGTTTGAAACCCTCTAGAAACTCTGGGAATTTAATAATCAGAGCAATGTTGATTATATATATTTTTTTGTCTCTATTATTTTCTCATTAAGTAGTAGTATTTTTTTCAGAAAAGTCCTGCAAGGTATATATACTTTCCTTTTCAGAAATGATTTATGAAAGCTTATTCTTATTTAAATTACAAAGTATACGTAAAAACAAAAATAAATTCATTTTTCATCAGGACATTAATTTGGACAACATTGAGGGGGAAAAAACCTATACCCCCTTTAGGGTATGGACTTAAAATGGGTCTGGAAACAATTGAATAAAAAAAGCATCCTATACGCCACCACAATCTCCAGCCTTGTCGGAAACCATATGGTACTTGTGAGGTAAGAGCCATCTCCTTAAACACTCATCCCTATCAACACAATGGTGAAGTATGTCTACACTACACTACTTCCCATGTTTAGTAAACAATAAATCCACAGATTTATGTCAAGGTTCAAGGTATCAAGTTCTTTCAAGTCGTCATCACTTGATCTTCATCACAGTTCATCCCTCTCTCCTAATCCTGATTAAAAATTTGCACGCAAAATGTCTTCCTCAAGGCACGATTTTGAAGTTATATTTAGCAACGTTTTGAAGTTATAATCAGCAACAATTTTATTTTAGTAACATCAGTTTACGACCAAGAAGTCCAGCACAATATTCTCAGGGCTTCTGATAATCAGGAAACAGTACGATAATTTCTGTGCCCTGGCCTGAAAGTTAAGCGTACAATGTATTTCTATTGCTTCGGCATGAAAGCCATACAATATTCTCAGGGTCTCTGAACTGTGTACAATATTCTCAGGGTCTCTGAACCGTGTTCAATATTCTCAGGGTCTCTGAACCCCATACAATAT